AAATTTTTCCGGGAAAAACAATTTTAAAGTGCTTAGTGCTCAGTTTTCATAATATTTTGTTTTGATAGCTTAAAATAATAAAAACAATCTTTTTCTGTTCCCCCCCCCCCTTTTTTTTTTTTTTTAAACACCAGCCATTACCACAACTATGGCAATTCAAAATAGGAAACATTCCCATTACTCATTTAATATCTGTCTTTCCACACTTGTAGAGACATCACGGATCAATTTAACTACAAAATGAAAACATCCACCCCTCCTGTCAGAGTGAAGGTACTGTACACTTACTTTGAGTTATCCTAGGTAATATACACATGTTAGTAAGATATTTGTATTTTTTGTGTACCTTTTACCTAAATAAACTTGCCACCTCCAAAACTGATATCCAGCTAACTGGTTTCCTGAACCCCTTTCATAAGGATTACCTTGTGCTTAAGAGCAAATAATGTCCACCAAATGTGCTTGCTAAAAATTATAAATACAGTATTCTACTTACTGAGTTGTCACCATTGGCAAGAGCAACATATTAAGTGTTTCAATGGTATAGCCAAACATGCCAAGACGACGATCGCCCCCATACGAGCGTATCGTGGTGCCATTTTCCTCTCCATTGACTTCCACATTTATATTATCATTTTCAGGTGATTCTTGTGACAAGTCACCTTCATGAACAGCATACAAGTCATCCAACGTAAACTGCAAAGACAAATCAAATTTTCATTAAAAGTATTTTACCTATATATTTCCTCAAATCAAGTTTGAAAAAGTTTTTACTGCCTAACCATTTGGGGAAAAATTTGTTAAAAGAGAACTAAAGCTACAAAGCAAACATCAAGTCCTTCATGCTACATTCACTTGAAAACTGCACCATCACAGCATAATAGTAGCTTTACAACATTTTAATAAAATATGTTTAATGCACTTTAGTATGCATTACCACCAATCAGCATTCAGACACTTGTAACAAATTCCCATCATCTGCTTTTCAAGAACAGATCCTTCTTTCATTCCTTTTTATATTTTTTTTTTTTTTGACTAGCTTAGCACTATTTCCCAGAGCAATAAAGTACCACCCTCTCTTGACTCATTAATTTAAGCCAGACTTTTGCACAATCCTTTGTCATCATAGCTTTTCCATTTTTCTTTTGGCACCACTGCTCCAATAACAAGGCTCAGTATTGGTTGGAACAGTTATACCTGTGAGTAAACCTTTATCCTACTTACATTCCTTTTTACCTTTTTCTTTTTCCCCGACCTCAGCTCTCATTCCCCCAGCCATTTCTTTTTTTCCCGATTTACTGTCATAACATTATGTCCAAAATGCTTTTATTAATTTTTTTTTTTTTCCAACAAGTCGGCTGTCTCCCACCAAAGGGAGGGTGACCCAAAAAAGAAAGAAAATCCCCAAAAAGAAAATAAATTTCATCATCAATCAACACTTTCACCCCACTCAACATAATCACTGTTTTTGCAGATGTGCTCAGAACACAACAGTTTAGAAGCAATACGTATAAAGATACACAACATATACGTATAAAGATACACAACTGCTAATATCCCAAACCCCCCCCTTTAGATTGCAGGCATTTTATTTCCCATGTCCAGGACTCAAGTCCGGACTATATTAAAAATAACCGGTTTCTGATCCCTTCACTAAATATTACCCTGCTCTCACTCAACAGATCGTCAAGTCCCAAATACCATTTGTCTCCATTCATTCACTCTATCGACACGCTATGCAAGCCTGCTGGAAAGTCCAGCCCTCACCCACCAAAACCTCCCTACCCCAACATTTTCGAAGGACGAACCCCTTCCCCACCCCCCTTACCCCGCTGCCTTCTCTACAGATTTAAATGCTCTCCCCATGTCATTTACTTTTGAATCATTCTCTCTAAATGACCAAACCACCTCATGTTATGCAGATGTTTATTTTAATCTAAGGCTTTTACTTCTATTATGATTATTAAATTTGTAGCACCACCTACTTTCAAACCAGCTACAATCAACAAACTTCAAAACATCATTCTACTATGTACAATCCCTGGGTTTATGGTGGCAGGACTTGTGACAGTACATGGAATGAAAATACAAGCTGTAGATAGATATGATGCAGTAATCAGTAAAACAGTGGCAAAGTTATACAAGGTTAGAAATATAAACGATTAGAGTTCAACATTCACCGAACTGTGTTACTGCCAAATCCACCTTTAGTAGTTTCAAGAGTATAACCTTATAACATGATCATGCAGTCCTGCAGCAAGACAAGGGCAATCCAATGACCAAACGTACTTATTTTCTTTCATTCACAGCAATTATATATCAAGCCAAATACAAGCTAATAGTACTCTACACAGATAGTTATAACAAATTTATGCTACAGTCTTACCATCTAATCCAGTAAGCTATGTATGAGAAAGAATAATAATGAAGTTTCTCAGATATATAAAATTTATATAACTATATGCTTCTGAAACACCTAATTTTATTTATTTCATCATTATTAATGTTAAGAGATGTTATAAGCCTTTTGCACTTGCATTTTGTATATTCCATTACAAAATTTATCTCAATAATTATAAACGAGATGTTGTTTTACATGTATATCATGCAAGATGTTTACCTGCTCCTGAAATCCACTGTGAATGAGTCTTGACCTTGCTATTTGTAACTTCAGCTCTTCATCTTCGTCACACTTTTTAGTGTGTGTCTACCAACAGCATGCGACGGGTTTCAGTCGACCTGTAACATCAACGATGCTGATATAATGTGGAAAAAAGTCTTGAACTAGAAGCCCCGGCTGAGACAGACACTTTAGCATCACACTTTTGCAGCGCCATCAATGCGGGTGAGAGCTATAATGTCTTTTACATGCTTGCTCTCACTAAGGTGTTTGTGGCATAGTTTATGTGTTATTTGGCTATTTATTCACTACAATAAAATAAAAAAATAAATGATCCAAAAACAAATCTTGACTACAATAACAAAGCTTTTGTGCCTGGCTTAGCCAAGCAAAATTTATAAATAAAAAAGGAAAGCAAAATAGTATAACTGGGGAAAGGTCATTTTTTCTCCGACTTCACCTGCATCTGAAACCTTTAAATGCATAATTAAAAAAAAAATTGTAAAGATTTTATTGACAAATGATGGTGCACATGATCATATTACAACAACTATTACTCAGTGTTAATCTTGGAACTTCTAATCTTAAATTCATGAAAATCCGGTGATGAAAACAATGTGTGTGCAGTTCCCCTTGGTCCTCTTACCTGTTTACACTTACCTGATAAGTTGGCAATGGGAGCCCTTGTGAAGAATCATATCAAAACAATTAGCCAACTCAGCTTTAAAATGAGATTATGAGAAAAATTAACAAGCAAAATAACATGGGTGACTGATTTTTTCACAAAATCTAGCCCATTACAGACACAGCACAACAGGCCCTGATAAAATGACCTCCAGGCACTCTTATCCCGTTCTGATTTCTGGGAGATGATTATGCATATGAGAGATGTAGTAATGACAAAAAAAGATGGTCATGTTTTCAGTCACAATGTCCTGAAATGTGATGCGAGTTATGAGTTGATGATTAATGAAGATTCGTTTGGCAGATGCCATCACCATCTCGCCAGTTCTGCCCGCTGGACAGT